AATTCTTCCCAAAAGACGGATAACTGGACAATCTGTTATCCTCTAATTGATTAAAAGAGGGAAAGTGAAGGTGAATAAAGGAGAATTTTCCACATTAAGAAGCTTATTTTTATTAAACCTGGAGAAGAAAGCTGAGTTTGGACCCAAATTCTGCTTCATTTTATATGCATTTCAATCTTAAAATGTGAGTTTAACTCTATTTTTATTCCAAATCCGGCTCACAATTTGACACGAATAAAAGAAAAACTTATTTCTTTTGTCACTTCTCTAATCTTATGATAAAGCACACATTCAAATGAGGCTTTATATAATAAAAAACGGACAGAATTTGCATACATATGCATTTAAAAACTGACAAAATGAGCAAAAAATAACCATTTAAATATGTATTTGGGCCATTTTCGCCCCGGAAATACTAATAAAGCTGCTTTGGTCTAAATAAAAGTGTTTAGATGTTTGTGTTTTTTGTAATAAAACGCAGCCTCACCGGCTCCAGAGCGGAGGGAGATAAAATTAGACGTATATCTGAGTCTGTTGCCATGGCGACGCAGCATCTTTAGCCGGTGAGTCCCGGAGGAGACCCTTAATGAACGCTCCCACCAACAACTTCAACCAACTGTAATGATAAGAATAAAAATAATACCCAGGCCCAGAGTCTGAATTAAATATTTCAGAGATATTTCAGAGTTTTGAGCAAACAGAATCCGGTGGAGTTTCGACAAGAGGAAACCGCTCCGTAATTATTGTTTTAGCCCCTAATTCTGCTAAAGTTCTCCTTATTTTACTGGCTCAGAATGGGATTAATTCCCAAATATGGTCTCCTAAACACACAGAAGGATTTAGATGCTCCGGTTTCTGTTAAAGTGTTCAGCAGGGCCCCAAAAACGGACCTTTTTGGAGCTCTGAATAAAAAAAAAAACAAGCATAAAACGGGTTTTCACGCCAGTAAATTACAAAGAAACAGAACTAAATCCTTAGAGAAGAACTGAAAACAACCTGGTTTGACTTCTTTACAGACATTAAGACAACGACTCTAATCAAACTGTTCTGAAATTCTGATATTCAGCCCAAAAAACTGACCTTTTTAGAGCTCTGAATTAAAAAAAAAAGAAAAAATCTAAGTTTTAAAGCTAGCTAGAAGTAGTTTTAAAGGAATTCTCCTCATTTGCTGCACGGGACAGTTTAGAAATCCCTGAAATAGTTTAGGATTTAGGACCAAACTGGCTCTGAGACCTTATTGGAGCGCTGAATAAATAAAAACAGACAGAAAACAGGCAGAAAAATAGCAGAAAACAGACAGAAAAATAGCAGAAAACAGACAGAAAACAGACAGAAAAAAAGCAAAAAACAGACAGAAAAAAAGCAAAAAACAGACAGAAAAAAGCAGAAAA